GTGTGTATATGTATGTATGTATATATATGTGTATGTATGTATGTATACATATACACAGTGATGGGAAAAAAATAGATATATATATCCGCTTTAATGCACTTACAAAAACAACAAAAGCAGTCAAATGTCAAAAGTTTCAGTTGCATCTTCAGTTGTATTTTTTTAATAATAATATTTGGCAATATTACTGTTTTTACTATATTTTTGATCAAATTATATACATATTTATATATGTTTTGGATCAAATTTTATATTGATCCAAAACGTATATAAATGCATATATTTATATATATTTTATATATTACAAAAATATGTACATTTACACACACTACTGGTCAAAATTTTGAATAATTTGGTGTAATTGGAATAATGAAGTTTTTAAAAAAAAACTTTTTTGTTTGATTATGTTCACTAAGTCTGCATTTATTTGATCAGAAATATATTAAAAACAGTAATATTGTGAATTATTATTATTATAAAAACAAAAATAATGAGGAACCTCACATTTATAATTAATGTAAACATTAGGATATATTTGCTACTATTATAATATTTTGTAGATTTATGTGTATATGGTGATATGAAGTGACTTGATTTGTTGATTTGCAAAAAAATCCTAATATTACCTAAATTGATGCGGAGTTCAAAAATATCAGTAACAACTTGAATGATGAATGAAGGTTTATATACATAAAACGGAGAATACAAGACGACTTCACTGCACAAATAGTTTTAAAATGCAACAAAATGCATCATATTTTGTGAGAAAGTGTGACATGCTTCACCAAAACAGACGCTATTTTTTGCATTCAGCACAGCAAATTTAGAAACATAATGGATTTCATTCAGCAAACATGAAGCAGGGCGGAGCTGGGCATATATTAGTTTATGAATGTTGATGATGTGTTGTTTTCAGCTCATCCAGGGAACACCGCAGTGCTCGGTGAACTCTGTGCCACTCTGTCCCGTCTGGCTGTGAGAAACGAGTTCTGTCAGGACATCGTAGACCTCGGGGGCCTGACGTTCATGATCACACTCCTGGCTGACAGTCTGGATCGTCAGGTGAGCTCTGGATCAGTGAGAGTTTCAGCATCGTTTCCTATGAACACAAACAAGTCTCTTGCTGTTGTGATGCTTCTGTCTTCCAGGAGCTTGTGAAGCAGGTGCTCAGCGCACTGAAGGCCATCGCAGGAAACGATGATGTCAAAGATTCCATTGTGAATGGCGGGGGGGCGGAGCTTATCGTCATGGCGATGAACCGTCACATGGCCAGTGCACAGGTGTGTCCTCAGAAGTTGTAAACTGCTTTTAAACTAAGCTAGTGTATTTGTTAATAATAATAATACATTAATTGTTTCATAGTAAATTACTCATAAATGGGTTTTCATACACTCAACACATTCCTGCTATTTCCAGAAACATTCGGTAATATTAATACACAATTCAGTGTTTGAAATACCAGCCAAGAATGTTGAGTTATATAATTATATATTTTATTATTAATCTTTTTTTATTTAATAACTCTTTTTATAGTTTTTTTTTTTCATTATAAACATTTTTATAATTTTATATAAAGATTTATAATTATATAATTAATATCAGTACTCTGTTGCCTTGATCTGGAAGTTGTCCAAATGAAGTTCTTAGTAATGCATATTACTAATCAAAACTTATGTTTTGATATATTTACGGTAGGAAATTTACAAAATATCTTCACGGAACATGATCTTTACTTAATATCCTAATGATTTTTGACATAAAAGAAAAATGTATAATTTTGACCCATACAATGTATTGTTGGCTATTGCTACAAATATCCCCCAGCGACTCAACACTGCTTTTGTGCTCCAGGCTCACAAATGTCTTTACTGTCACTTTTGATCAATTTAATGCATCCTTAATAAATAAATGTATTAATTTCTTGATTTAGAGAAATATGTTTAATCAGTTATTTTCATGAAATAACTTGGCCTAATGAATGAAGTGAATGATTAAATTAATGAAGTTCCTCTGTGTGACTGTGCTGTGTAGCTAAATCACTGAGTGCGTTCTCAAACTCGGAGTCTCCTCATAAACACAGCTGGTTTCTCATTGTCTTTGCCTCTGTGTGTGCGCGCTGTGGGTTCAGGTGTGTGAGCAGGGATGTGCGGCGCTCTGTGTTCTCGCGCTACGCAAACCCAACAACTGTAAAGTCATCATGGAGTGTGGCGGAGCGCTGGCGGCCCTGCAGGCCATGAAGACTCACCCGGCTGAAGTCGGTGTGCAGGTAAAGCCGTCTGTGCGCTGTCTCGCATGCATCAGCAGATGCGTTTACTCAAAGCGACTTGCATTGCATTTAAGGTTCCTGCAGAAAAGCATAGAGCTACAGGAGCAGGAATTTCTCTGACATGCGTAGTAACAGGAAAGTTTTCAGCATTTCACTTACAGAATATCTTCATACCTGGTAAAACTAGGAGAAAATGCATATCATTTTGCTCTTAAGGCCTGTTCACATAAACGTTAACTATATTGAACATTAGTGTGAAACAGGCCTTTAACTATTCATTTTCTTCAGAAAATGTGAAAATCTAGGTTTTATTTATTTTTCATTTAAAAGTACTTTCTTTGTATAAATATGCTGTTTTAATAGTTTTTTATTTCACTTGGTGAATACCTGGTAACGGTTATTATAGGTAAATAAAATAAAATATAGTTAAATAAAAAAAACTAAAAGCATTAAAAAAAATTGTTACATGAAAATAAATACATTTTAACATAATAAAGAAATAAAAACGGAATTTATTTCAGCTAGTTGCCAAGGCAACATTTCTTGTTTTCATTAAGTTTAACTGAATGTACTAAAAATAAAACCTAATTCTAATGTTATTTTAAATTTTAAAAACTTTTATAATTATATTTTTAAAACAAAACTAAATCAATATTTCAATGATACTAAAATAACACTAGTTCATATATAGTTATTCCGCCCACGTGTCTAGGGAACGATAAGGGCATGATAGAGAGAGGGTTTCGGTGGTGGATTCAGAAGAATAAAAAAATTAATAATTTCGGTCAGGGAGCAAACTTTAATTTTTTTTATATATATATGAATTTATTTCAGCTAGTTGCCAAGGCAACATTTCTTGTTTTCATTAAGTTTAACTGAATGTACTAAAAATAAAACCTAATTCTAATTTTATTTTAAATTTTAAAAACTTTTATAATTATATTTTTAAAACAAAACTAAATCAATATTTCAATGATACTAAAATAACACTAGTTCATATATAGTTATTCCGCCCACGTGTCTAGGGAACGATAAGGGCATGATAGAGAGAGGGTTTCGGTGGTGGATTCAGAAGAATAAAAAAATTAATAATTTCGGTCAGGGAGCAAACTTTAATTTTTTTTATATATATATCTTTACTTTTTGCCCTTTTGGCCTTTTTTTGTTTTCTTTGTACTTCTGTTCCCTTCGTTTTCTGAAAAATAAATAAATGAATAAAACAAGCTGCTAAGCAATTGTTCTTCAGATGATGTCTTTCCTGTTGTTCCTGGAAAGCAAACCAGCCTCTGTTTGTATTGTTTAAAGGGGTCATATAATGCTGATAAAAAGAACATTATTTGGTGTCATGAAATGTGTTTATGCGGTTCAAAAAACACATTATGTTTCTCCTCTATGTCTCGGCTTTCTGAAACGCGTAGATTTTTACAAAGCTCATCGGTCTGAAAAGCGAGGTGTGCTGTGATTGGACAGCTATCTAGTGCGTTGTGATTGGCCGAATACCTCAAGCGTGTGACAGAAATGTTACGCCCCTCACCATACTGTGATGATGCCCTGTCCGACCGGAGCGACGAGACAAACACATGAAAACCCATTATAAACCAGGCATTTGTTGCATCCAGTGGGGACATAATTACGGATTATAATGACTTATACTGTCTTTTTACACGTTGCATTGCATCGCGCCGCGTAAACATAAAACCATGTCTGCATTTGTGATCAGAGAAATGACAAACAACAAGCGCTACTCTACAATGCGCATTTAAGTATTTTGGTAGAAATTATCATTGCTTTAATAACTTTTTATAAGTTTTGCAAAGGTAATGTGGTACAGTAGTGGTATTAGATATTAATACACAGAAATATGCCATGGTACAGATTATTAAAACAAAAACCATAAATTATTTTTTTTTTACTTTAAATAAAATAGACATGAACTGAACTAAAGTCTCACACACACACACACACACACACACACACACACACACACTATTATACACACAGATGAACTGGTGTGGCTGCAACAATATGGTAAATTTGAGCTAGAAGACTTCAATAAGAGGTTGAAATGAGATTGATAAAACATTCCTGTTCATTTTTGTTGAATTTTGACGTTATGTGTAACAACAACATGTCTTTCTCTGTGTTCAGGTTTGACCAATTTAATGCAAAAACTGACATTTCAAACAAAATAAAATCTAAATCTTTATAAAAAGTTGTCTTTGAGAATGTCTAAATATAAATCCAAAATCCGCAACTTTAAAAAAAAAAGTATTTATGTCTAAAAACAACTAGAGAATTCATAAGCCTTTTATACAGAGCTCTATAGGAAACCATGGAACTGCAGATGTTTTTATTATTAAACTCCCACCAGATGCCTTCAAAAACTGGATTGTAAAGGCCTCGTCTCTATTTTAACATGCCATAATTGAAAATTAATACTAGATTTATTATTTTAGAAAAAATATTAGATTTTTTTTTCCAATGGGAAAAATATATTATAGTTATTGCATAAATATTAAATAAATATAATTAATTAAATAACATTAATTTCACTGAAAATAAAAAAAAGTTAAATTTCAGGTGTCCTGCAACAACACCCCAGAGAGTTAAACCCAATTCTTAAAAGATGTATTAATATTGGTACAGCACACCCATCTCGCTATTTTCGCGCTATTCTCGGTAAAACTCCAAGCTCCGCCCCTTCTACGGTTCCCCGCCCCTCGAACGAGCCTATCACGTCAAGCGCGCTGGACTACAGCTCCCACAATGCACCGGGACTCTCCCTTCAGAGTTAGTTTAGTTGGGTTTCTGCGTTAGTGTGGACGGTGACTGGAGTCTCTCACTTCATCAGAAGCTCGTTCAAGAGCTTAGCAGTCCGACAGCACGGGAGTGTGCGAGCACACCGGCATCAGACTCCGGTAGAGTCGGTGTTTTTCTGCCGAGAGCTTCAACAGGTGCAGCAGACCGTCAGGTGAGCGGCGAAATCTCACGATAACCGTTGTTTTGCTAGCACGCTAACATGCTAAAGCACTTTGAGACCGATATTGAGTTCAGCTCTGTTCTGCTGACAGCTGCTTCGTGTTTAATGCTTTTATCTTTTATTTAAGCAGACAACATAATGATTATGACATGTTTCATAAATACGCATTTAGGTTATATAAATTACTAAATATAAATAACAGGTATTCCTGATATGTAAATATTATATTGTAAATATAAATATATATTTTTTTTAATAAATCAGTTAATTAATAAAAATAGATAAAATAAATAATGCATCTGCCAGTACAGAAATATAGTGAGTTATAAAATATTATCATATGTTAATATGTATATCTCAGAGTCCCTTTAAGTCTTATACTTTGAGATATATATATATATATATATATATATATATATATATATATATATATATATATATATATATATATATATATATATATATATGCATATACAAGTACAGTCTTTCGTCTTCAAAATTCAGTGTTACTTGTCGCTTCTTTGTATTTATTTGTGAAATTTATAGTAATTTCTGAGTGCAAATTGTTTCAACACAAATTTATTTTTTCAATGCATGAACATTGTGAAACATTGAAACCAAGATTAGGGTCCTGACGATAAAAATGACTTTGGTTTAGGGCTGCACGATATTGGAAAAAACTCACATCGCGATATTTAGTTTTTCTGCGATCTATATTGCGATATAAAATCACCAGGTGACTTGAATATCTATTTGAACAAAATACTCAATGATTGGTGTGATTTTGTAGGTGAGTAAATCAGCATAGAAAATGACAAACAAATTACAAGCATAGATAAATATAATAGAACAAAGATACAAATCAAATAAACAGTGCTTTATATTTTTCAGGTAAGTCTAACAGTATGATTCAGGTACAGAAATTGAATTAAATCTAATAAATCTGTGTTAAAGCTACAAAAGTGATTTTTCTCTGTGTTTTGTTGTTTGATTAACATTCATGACACAGAAAGCAACAGGAACATTAAAATGCTGTGAACCAATATACTGTTTGTTACACATCTGTTTTCCTTCACCTAAGCCATAAGCAGCTGTGTTTACAAGGATACTTGCAGAGACATGCATTTTGACATAATTTCGCTCGTAAGTGTCGTTTCAGGCACAAATAGACGAAGTGAAGGAAGTTCATGTGCATCTGTGTGAGCAACAGCTTGTGTTCATAATTGAGCTCTATTTTGCGATCGAATGGTTTAAAATCACTTGAATATTCAAACCAACAGAGCCTAAAACACATGCAAATGATAAACCTTCATTGTATGATGGTTAAACTTTGCAATTAATCCAAGAATCACCTGCGTTTCGAACCCTGGCACCTGCTCCATACGGATTAATGATCACTAGACTAAACATCGCACATCACGATATCGATGCTGAAATTATAGATATCGTGCAGCCCTACTTTGGTTAACAGTTTCATGCATGAAAATCCCACTTGTGAAATGTTGCTTAACCCGGTGTTTAAAAGCTTTTAAAAGCCTAGGAGTTATATAAAAAAATGTCCTGGCACTTCCAAGCTTTATAATGGCAGTGAATGGGTGTTATTTTTCAATAGTCCAAAAGAAGTCCAATAAAGTGCATCCATCCATCACAAGAAGCGTCCCACACGGCTCCGGGGGGTGAATAAAGGCCTCCTGAAGCAAATCAATTTGTTTTTGTAAGAAAAATATCCATATTTAAAACTTTATAAACCATAATCTCTATCTTTGTACGCACGTTCATTCCAGCGTAAGCTCCGGTGAGAATATGCTAGTCTCATGAGAACCGACGTTTGTTTACAGCAGCAAAGGAAGCAAAATGTTTTCTTACGTTAGCAAAGGAATACCAGTCTCCTCTCGGCTTATATCGAAATCCTCCCACATTTTTCTTTACAAATCCTCGTTTTGTACTTATAATTTGTGACCAGTGTTTTGTTTTGCTCTCTCTGCTGCGCTTCCGCATCCGTCACTTCTCACCGGAGCTTACGCTACGCCTACGTCATCCGCCGGAATGAGCGTGCGACAGTTACAGTTTATAAAGTTTTAAATATGGATATGTTTCTTACAAAAATGCATCGATTCGCTTCAGGAGGCCTTTATTCACCCCCCGGAGCCGCGTGGGATGCTTTTTATGAAAGATGGATGCACTTTATTGAACTATTGAACAAAAACACCCATTCACTGCCATTATAAAGCTTGGAAGAGCCAGGACAATTTTTTTATATAACTCCGATTGTATTCGTCTGTAAGAAGAAAGTCATAAACACCGAGGATGGCTTGAGGGTGAGTAAATCATGGTGTAAATTTCATTTTTGGGTGAACTATCCCTTTAAGGTTGCGCGTCTGCAGGACCCTGACGGCTCTGAAGTGTTCGTATGCGCTGAATGTGTGACCTTTCACCCACTGAGCCTCTCGTTCCCGTTCACCTCCACCGCTGAGAGTACAGATCAGGTTTGACTGACCTGCAAGTTCAGGGTCGTTTGAGTAGTTGAGATTTTAAATAGATAGTTCACCCAAAAATAAAAAATTCTGTCATCATTTACTCGCCCTCATGTTGTTCCAAACCTTTGAGTTTCTTTCGTCCGTTGAGAACAAATGAAGATATTTTGAAGAATGTTGGCAACCAAACAGTTGACGGCAGCCATTGACTTCCATAGTATGGAAAAAAATGGGCGAACTATCCCTTTACCTTTATTTTTAACTGCTCTATATTGAATTAGCTTTTATTTTTATATTTTCCATTTTCAGTATAATTTTAGATAGTTTAGTTTTCTTTCTTTCTTCCCTCCCTTCCTTTCTTTCTTTAATATATCTCTTCTATTTTTATTTCAGTTTTAGTTTGTTCATTTGGTACTAAAACTTTACAACAATCTCATTTGTTATCATTAGAACTAATATGAACTAACAATGAGTGAATATAATTTACAGCATTTATTAACCTTTGTAAATAAACAAAGGTTTATAGAATGTTAAATATACAATGTTAATAGAATTTTTCATATTCATGTCAGTTTACGGTGCATTAACTAACGTTAACAGATACAACTTTTAAATAGAAATGTCTTAGTAAATGTTCAGATTAACATTGTTATTAAGATTAATAAATGCTGTAGAAGTGTTGTTCATTGTTAGTTTAATTTAACTAATGATAACAAATGAAACCTTATTGGAAAGTGTTACTAACACTTTTTTCCTTTGATAAAATTTTTACAATAGTTTCATTTCTTAAAAGTACATTATGAACTATACTTATATGACAGTTAATGTTAATTGGTTTACTAATACATATTTTAAAATCAAAAGTTAGTGTAGGTAATGCACTGTAAACTAACATGAATAATCAATGAATGGTTGTATTTAACATCAACAAGGATTAATAAATTATGTAAAAAATATATTGTTCGTTCATGCTAATGCATTAACTCATTATACCAAATGAGAGCTCATTGTAAACAGGGTTATTATAGTTAACTAAGACTAAAACCATTATAAAAAGTTACTTAAAACAAAAATAAATGTTAACTAAAATATAAAAAAACTTACTTTATTTCAGCAACATTTCTCATTTTCAATTAGTTTAATTTGATGTATTAAAAAAAACTCAAACAAATAAAATTTATAAAAACTGTATAGACTAATTAAAAAAACAAGAACTACTAAAAATGACCAAAAAAAATGCAACAAATCTACTAAAACTTTCAAAGTAAAAATTAAAATAAAAAAATGCAAAAATAAAAATGAATTCAAAATATTAATAACAGTCTATCAGTTATACTAAAATAATTGTGCACTGACTGTAAAGTATTACCTTTTGTGCATTGTGCATGAGAATTAAGCACATTTGATGTTTTACTGGATATTAAATTGTCCTAAAAATAATGTCGCAATGCAAAAAATCTGAATGATCCAGAAAAGCTTTAATTTTCTTCATGCAAAATATAATTTCTTATTTTTTCCATGTCGTTTTAGGATGAAATAAGAGCTAGACTTGTTCTTGTCATGTTTTCTGAAGCTCATCTCTTTTCTAGAAGACGTCTTTGCAGATTTTAAAATAGGTCTGTGATGTGTTTGGCAGCGTTATATGATATGGTGTTGCTTTATAATATTTCTCTCATGTCGTTCCAGGTTTGGTTGTGAGTGTGTGTGTGTGTGTGTGTGTGTTTGCGTGTCGGGCCGGCGAGCCCTGTGCGCTCTGGCGTGTATGAATGGATCAGGTTGGCATGGGGAACGCAGAACACCAGGGGGCGCTGGCAAAGGGCGAAGTGTTGCCACGCCCTGCCTCCAGCCAATCAGAGGTGAGAATGCTCCCTTCTGAACCCGCCCACAGCAGAGAACAGCCAATAAGATTGCACTGTTCCATTCCAACTGATTCTGACAATTTTTTTAAATGTATATTTTAGTTTGTCATTATTTACTCATCCTCATGCCATTTTAGTTATTTTAGTACATAATTTTAAATTAAATGAACATTTTGGTAACACATTTCAATAAGGTTCCATTAGTTAATGCATTAACTAAGATGAACAAACAATGAGCAATACATTCTTTACAGTATTTATTTATTTTCATTAGCTAACATTAACAGAGATTCAGTTGTTCATTGTTAATTCACAGTGCAATAACTAATGTTAACAAGCACAACTTTTGATTTTAATAATGCATTAGTAAATGTTGAAATTAACATTAAAGGTCCCCTGTAATGCTTAGAAACATGCGACGTTACTCTGTGTTGACGTCATTTTAACTGAAACAGGAAGACAGGGCGGAACATATCAAGCAGCCCCGCCCCTTTTTAAAATAGCCAATAGCGTTCGTTTATATCACAGCTTGGGCTAGAGCCGTTGAGCTCCGTAAAGCCGCATTTGACAGCCACAATCTCATCCATATTGCTATAAAATATAGCATTCTGTGTAGAATTCAAATAGCTCCGATACATTTAGTGGTCTGCGGCGCCTCGCGCATGTGATCCGCGCCGTGCTATCGTGTCTCTGGAGCGGAGCAGAGTGTGTGTGCGGTGCGGTGGTTAGCGGGACACAGCGCCAAACCTGACTTCTTTTCTTCCTCAATGGAAAGCATGTTTACACTGTTTGAATCGTTCCCTGTCCCCTATATAGTGCACTACGTGCCATTCACTGTACAGAAAATACTCATTCTGTGGACAAGTGACCGATTTCAGCGTCTATTTTATAGTGTAGGGGGCGGGGCTTCGGATTCTAGAGAGCATTTGATTGGACAGAAAGTTTGATGAGAAGCTGAAGTACGATGTGACGTCAAAAAAATCATTGAGCCGTTTTGGCGGAAGTGACGAACTGCAAGCTTAGAATGCTTATATCTTCTAAATGTGAATTTTGTCACTGTTTTGGAGCACCCTGCCTTATAGATAACCTAAAGACTAACATATTGATACCAACACCCAAAAAACTTTCATTTTGATTTCATTGGGACTTTAAGATTAATAAATGCTGTAGAAGTATTTGTTCATGCTTAGTTCATGTTAACTAAAGTAGTTAACTAATGTTAAACCTTATTGTAAAGTGTTACCAAAATCTGAAATGTTCCCTTTTAGCAACTAGCTGAAATACAATAAGTTAATAAAAATATTGTATAAATTGTATTTTTATTTTTATTTTAGTTAGCGTTTATTTTATTTCATTTTTTTTTTTGGTTAACTATAATAATCCTGGCGGTCAGTGTGCATATCACTGCACAGCACCTACGAAATTCATTTTTTTATGAATTTTGTGTCCTTAATATTTGTATTATGTAGTGTTATGTAGTTCGCTGCATGTTGTGTCTATTCACACTTCAACCTCTTGAACCCTACTGCATACTTGATTACTAAGTGTGTTGTGTTGAAATAGAATATTTTCATTTTGTTTCTAATTTAATCTACGATTATGAAGAAATGTGGGATGATTTCAAGCTCAAAATAATGTCAAACTCTTATAATTAGGATAATAGTCAGTTCTGTTTCAGGAAGCTGTTATCATGATCATTTAGTTTTTTGTTTTTTTTCCATGTGGGTTGCCAACCGGCTCATTTACAGTAAAATTTCATTTACAGTCATTTTAATGTTTAACAAGAACTCACACGAGCTGTTAATGTCTGCAATATGGCTTGTGATTATTAAATCACAAAGGCTGCAATACAGTGAAATATTATAATATTAATGTTTCCAATTGTGTATTTATTTAGTAATCTTTAGATTTTTATTTAATAATAATAATAATAATAATTATTATTATTATTATTTATAGACATAGATATATAATCACAAAACTTTGGCCAAATTGTGCAACCCTGCAAATAAACACCGCAACCCTGAGAGGCTTGTAAAGGCTGCAATACAGTGAAATATTACAATACTAACAGCTCTTATTTTGTTTTATTTGTAATTTTTGGATTTTTATTTAGTAGTAGTAATAAATAATAATAATAATAATAATAGACATATTGATGTTTAATCGCAACACTTTAAATTGTGCAACCCTTCATATAAACACAGCAAACCTGAGAGGCTTGTAAAAGTTTTGTAAAATATTTCTTAACAAATTCTTAATAGGTTTTTGTTTTCTTGCTTGTTTTTAATTTATTTAATTTAGGTTTTTTTTGCTGTTTGTTTTTAAATTGTTTTATTTATTTACTTATTTACTTAAAATCTCATTTTAAATTCACTTTGTTTTATCAGAAAAATAACTTCTTTTTTTTTGTGCAGCCCTAGTCTGTAGCTTATATCAGGATCATATTAAACGTTGTTTTTAGATCCTTCGTATTTTGATTAACAGGGCAAATTCATTTGTAACCGAGCGGTTAATCTAGTTACTTAGTTAGTAGCTGATCTGACTAGTCTGTAGTTTTCAGATGATCAGCATGCTGGGACTTTGGGAATAAAACTCAACCCAGTGTTCCTGCTTTACTCGTGTTCGGACAATCATTCATGGGTGGAAACCGATTAGAAGTGTGAATATAAAGCTGTTCTGCTTCTTAAAGATTAGAGGGAAAGCTTGAGTCTGTCCCAGAAACCACAGTATGTGCTCACGCCTGGACATGTTACAGCATCACTAGATTACAGCCTCGATGATTAACACTGGCTGTGTTTGTGAACTATTAGAAGACGCAGACTGCTGTATTTATTGGTTTATATGTGGAAGTCCTCCTGGATCGGAACTAATGTGTGTTCTCTCTCTCTGTGTGTGTGTGTGCAGGGTTTTAAACCTCGCTCGGTCTTGAACTCTTTGCTCTCGGGGGCGTTTGCAGGAGCCGTGGCCAAAACAGCCGTGGCCCCGCTGGACCGAACCAAGATTATCTTCCAAGGCAAGAAGACAAACTCATATTAACATTCCTCGAGTGACTGACTAAACATTTACAGATGCGCTAAAGTATGTAAACACTCAGTTATGCCTATAGATGTTTGAATGTCATTGCATCAGGTGCGAATGATCAGAGAGTCATTCTGAGAGTCAAGCGTGAGTGGATCAGTTCATGTGATTCTCCTCATCTGTGTGAAATGACATCCACTAAACAGCCAGGGGTGCAAACATGCCACCTTTCAGTGAAAATCACCTTTTAGAATCCAAAACAGCTCATTGTGTCACTTATAATGTGCATTTGAAAATGCAATTCGCCAACCATATTACCAGATTTGTAATGAGAGTCATTTATAAATCTGTTGACCGCAAAAGAGAAGCTGTGTGGTTTAACATTTAGAAATTAAGACATTCATGAATATTAGTGTTTTACTGTAAAATAATATTTATTATTATTATCATTATTGTGTACTTTATTTTACAGTACAATAGTAGTATTACTGTTGTAATATATTTCTTTATTGTTAATTGTTTTAATTTTTTTTAAGTTGATATAAAATAATTTAAATTAAAACAACATTATTATTATTGTTGTTATTATATACTTTATTTTACAGTGCAATAGTATTATTACTACTGTAATATATTTCTTTATTGTTAATTGTTAAACATTTTTTAAACTTAATACTATCAAATATTTAAATAAAAACAACAGTATTATTATTGTTTTGTTTATTATTACTATTATTATTATGTACTTTATTTTACAGTGCAATAGTATTATTACTATAGTAATATATTTCTTGTTTCTTGTTTTATTTATTTGTTTTTAAACTTGGTGATATAAAATAATATTTAAATTACAACATTTATTGTTGTTGTTATGTACTTTATTTTACAGTGCAATAATATTTAAATAAAACAACAATAGTTTATTATTATTATTATTTTTATTATATACTTTATTATACAGTGCAATAGAATTATTACTATTGTAATACATTTCTTTGCTTGTTTTAATTTTTTTAAATTATATAAAATAATATTTAATTAAAGGGATAGTTCACCCAAAAATGAAAGTGTGATATTTATCTGCTTACCCCCAGGGCATCCAAGATGTAGGTGACTTTGTTTCTTCAGTAGAACACTAACAAAGATTTTTAACTCAAACCGTTGCAGTCTGTCAGTCTTATAATGTCAGTGGATGGGAATCACGGCTTTGAGAGTCAAAAAAACATACACAAACAAAACCAAATTAAACCCTGTGACTCGTGACGATACATTGACGTGTAAAGAGACGAAACGATCGGTCTGTGCAAGAAACTGAACATTATTTATATAGTTTTAACCTCTGATTTACTGCAATGTCTGAACTGTCCTGAGCGCGTCTATCTCTCGCAGATAGCGCACCTATCTTTCAAATGGACTATTGACACACTATCTACAATCTCAGTTAGGAGTGTCAATGGTCCATTTGAGAGATCGCTGGCGGTAATGCACTTATAAGTCTGCGATCTGCGGTAAAGCAAGAAGACGACGACGTTGCGTCAGGCGCCGACTGTTGAACGCGCTCTGGACAGTTCAGACATTGCAGTGCATCATAGGTAAAACACGATATAAATACTGTTCAGTTTCTTGCACAGACCGATCATTTCGTGTCTTTACACGTCAATGTATCATCACGAGCCGCAGGGTTTAATTTGGTTTTGTTTGTGTATGTTTTTTTTTACTCTCAAAGCCGTGATTCCCATTAACTTCCATTATATGACTGACAGACTGCAACGGTTTGAGTTAAAAATCTCCGTTTGTGTTCTACTGAAGAAACAAAGTCACCTACATCTTGGATGCTCTGGGGGTAAGCAGATAAACATCACACTTTCATTTTTGGGTGAACTATCCCTTTAAAAGCAATAATATACAGTGGGGCAAATAAGTATTTGATACACTGCTGATTTTTCAAGTTTTCCCACTTACAAAGAATGGAGAGATCTGTAATTTTCATCGTAGGTACACCTCAACTGTGAGAGACAGAATCAAAAAAAAAAAATCCAGAAAATCACATTGTATGATTTTTAAATAATTAATTTCCATTTTATTGCATGAAATAAGTATTTGATCACCTACCAACCAGCAAGAATTCTAGCTCTCACAGACCTGTTAGTTTGTCTTTAAGAAGCCCTCCTATCCTCCACTCATTACCTGTATTAATTGCACCTGTTTGAACTTGTTACCTGTATAAAAGACACCGGTCCACACACTCAATCAATCAGACTCCAACCTCTCCACTATGGGCAAGACCAAAGAGCTGTCTAAGGACACCAGGGACATTAGTAGTAATAGTAAACTCTATTTAAAAAAATATATACGGTCTGTCATCACTAAAAGTACCTTTAAATTCATGTGTTAAAGCAGATTTCCAAAACACCAGCAATGACATTCAGACATTTAGAAGAGTGACGCCTTTTGGTGCAACTGTACGAATGATTAGTAATGATAGACCTTGTATTTGCACAATAAATGTTTCACAGGACTCTATATTTGTGATTTATTTTTTTGTTTATTTGTTGCTGAAAAGTTGCTTTTATTCCTTATCAGCTGAATGAACACAGGAAACTAAAAATTTCCCTGTCTTCTCATTTTAGTGTCGTCGAATAGATTCTCCGCCAAGGTGAGTATTTTTCTCTGTCTTTGAATGTGCATCTGCACTTAAATATCAGCGGTTTTGCATATTAATTTAAAAGTTTGACTTATATATTTTGCATTCCTGTAGTGCACAGCATTAGCAATGCCAAGCTCATGGGTTTGATTCCCAGAGAATGCATTTACTGATATAATGAATGCAGTGTAAGTCACTTTGCAAAATGCATAAAATATAAATTGTATGGCTTCCAGGAGGCGTACAAGTTAATTTACCGCACGTATCTGAAGGATGGCTTCTTGAGTCTGTGGAGGGGAAACTCGGCTACGATGGTGCGCGTCATTCCATACGCTGCCATCCAGTTCTGCGCTCATGAACAATACAAGAGGATTCTGGGACAGTATTATGGCTTCCAGGGCAAGTGAGTGTGATTTTACTCTCTGCTGCTTCACTGCTGCACGGTTACATGAACCAAAGCGACTCACAAATGTGACCCTGGACCACAAAACCAGTCATAAGGGTCCATTTTTTTGCTGAAAAGCTGAATAAATAAGCTTTCCATTGATGTATGGTTTGTTAGGATCGGACAATATTTGGCCGAGATACAACTATTTGAAAATCTGGAATCTGAGGGTGCAAAAAAATTTAAATATTGAGAAAATCATCTTTAAAGTTGTCCAAATGAAGGTTTTAGCAATGCATATTACTGATCAAAAATTAAGTTTTGATATATTTATGGTAGGAAATTTACAATATCTTCATGGAACATGATCATTACTTAATATCCTAATGATTTTTGGCATAAAAGAAAAATCAATAATTTTGACCCTTACAATATATTTTTGGCTATTCCTACAAATATACCCCAGCGACTTCAGACTGGTTTTGTGCTGCAGGGTCACATATGAGAAACTGAACAGCGTGTTGTTGTGCAGAGCTCTGCCGCCTGTGCCGCGGCTGCTGGCGGGGTCTCTGGCGGGAACCACGGCTGCCCTGATCACATACCCACTGGACATGGTCCGCGCTCGCATGGCTGTCACACCCAAAGAGATGTAAGACCGAGCAAAACTCTGCTTCATCAGAAATTAGTAGAGTCTGACTAAAATAATTAAAATTAAAGTAATTAAACTTCAGCACTGAATGTTCTTCAGGCATCCCAGACTTTTTAACCAGTGAATGGCTTTTCAACATTGATGCGGTTAATGTTAACTGAAACTATTAAAAAACATTTTCATTAATGGAAATAAAGCTGAAATAAAATACAGTATAAATATTAGAGGACTTAAACTTAATAAACTAATAAAAAAAATAAAATGAGAATTTGAAAAACAGTTTGAAATAAGTTTAAGTACTACAATAACTAAAACTAAAAGTGAAATAAAAAATTAACAATAAAACAAAAACTCATACAAATGACGAAAGCACATGACAATTATGAAAACAATCTAAAATTAAAATAAAAACTAATAAAATAAAATAACATTTAGTTCAATAATTAATTTTATTAAATATTAAAAGAAAATATTACGAAATACTATTATAGTATATAAATAAAACTAAACACTGAAAATGATTTTTAAAAACTTTTTTTACTCAAAGTTAATCCGTCTTGTCAAAATCCACTGTCCATTAAACATACAGTGGGTACGGAAAGTATTCAGACCCCCTTAAATTTTTCACTCTTTGTTATATTGCAGCCATTTGCTAAAATCATTTAAGTTAATTTTTTTTCCTCATTAATGTACACAGCACCCCATATTGAGCTAGACGGTAATACTTCTCCTTTGAGAAATTTGTTCTATTCTGTTGATACTTTTGTAAAGGTTTTTAATCAAGTAAATCCAAATCTAGTTTGAAGTATTTTAGAAAAAATTAAACATCTTTAGTTTTAATTTTGAATTCCTAAACCTGGCTCTCGCCATGAACCTAGCCATAGAAGCTGACAGCATCGAAAAGAGAAAAAAACCTCACAATTTCTACCTAATAAAATATTTTAGAGCTTGACATAACTAGAAAACTGTGTGTTCTTTATAAAAATGCCCATGGTGTTTTAAGATTTCATTAATTTCCACGACTATTCCAGGTATAAAAATCACAATTTTAAAATAAAAGTTTCCAAGACACTGGGAATCCTGGTTCTTCAAAGACAGCAAAACATTGTTAAAGGAGTGAATTAAATGAAGGAGCATCTTGTAGAGCTGTGCAAGTAATCGAAATACGGTTTAGATTTCGATTTCAGCCTCCTCAACGATTATGAAAGTCCAATAATCGAGATAAAACGATTATTGCGTCCCATTCTGCCCCCTTTCCAGCGGTGTGCTTTCGCTCCTCCTTAAAAGCCAGCAAATCTGTAAAATCATGTAACGTGACTTTTGCAAAATGGGATGTGCTTGATTGATCAAAGTTGATCAGATTTATTCATGTTTTTGAAAAGAGCACTAACGCTGTCCCTCAGGAGGATTTCTGTGATTCGCTCAGAGACGGAACAGAAAACGGACGAGTAAGGTCAACTTTTAGCTCGAGGTGCGCGCCCCAACGGGCAAATACACGCAAAAATGTGTCAAAATGCGGCGCTTGGTGATTATTATTCATATAAACCCTTGTCTTTTATGTAATATATGAACGTAAACCGTTGAGAATGAAAATACGTGTGTAACAGTAAATTGGAGCCGTGCGGCTCTTAAAGTGACAGCAGCCTAATATTCCTGCTGCCGACTGTGTAATTAATATTAAACAAACAACAGAAGACGGAGAGAAATTCACTCACTGCTCTCGACTGAAGGTAGTAAGAAACAAAGGAAGACTATGCTTATATATGTTTTATTTGACATTCAGTTATTCAATTTCTGTAGTAGGCTGTTAGCTGAATGCTTTAGACTTGCACAGTTTGTTTCATTTGTATCTTTTTTTTTATTACTGACCGTTTATTTATTTTATTATTTTTATTTTTTATTTGCTTTACTAATATTAGTTACCCTAGTATTCAGCTGTGGTATTGAGAATTTTGAATGTCGATGCCATAGCAACCTTATCTAAAGAAAATACATATTTGGTGTATACATATACAAAATACATATATATATATATATATATATGTATACAGTATATCACTATCTTTAAATAAATCACTCATATTAAGTTTTGGTCATGTGGCCCACTCATAATCGTGTTAAATAATCATGATTACAATATTGACCAAAATAATCGTGATTATGATTTTTGCCATAATCGAGCAGCCCTAACATCTTGATTTGCAGTTGTTTTAGCCTATTTTAATGCTCATGTCGTATTAAATCATCTTGAAGCCCCTTGGAAGTTTGCTGAGGTTAGAACAGCAGTCGTAGAGGAATGAGATGTCGTGTGATGTCACTGTGATGTCATTGTGATGTCACTGTGATGTCATTGTGATGTCACTGTGATGTCGTTGCTGGTCAGGTACAGTAACATCCTGCACGTGTTCGTGCGAATCTCTCGTGAGGAGGGGCTGCAGACGCTCTACAGAGGATTCACTCCCACCATCCTCGGCGTCGTGCCGTACGCGGGACTCAGCTTCTTCACCTACGAGACGCTCAAGAAGCTCCACGCAGGTACATCGGGCCGCATACATGCCTGCGCTTTGACATTTCACAAGCTTTCATTTGATGGTGATTATTTACATTTTGGTTGCAGTGTTGTCTTAGTTTCAAATAATTGTCTTATTTACACTTTTCTGTAAGGTCCCATTCGTTACCTCATATTAACTAACATTAGGCATTACATTTCTCATAAAGCAATAAGCCCCAAGAAGCCGTGGCTTACAGTGAATTTATAACAGCTAAGAGGCGTTGTTAGGTACGACGCGAAGCAGAGTATGTACGTAGTACCATATATATGTAATACGGTTTCACAAAATAAAACAGAGCAAATAAAGTGTAATGATATTAATAAAAACAGTATTCTTCCACCAAACAATGTAGCTCCTCAGAAACAGTTGTGGTTGCTACAAAGTGGTTTCAGAGCAACACACAAACGTAAACAAAGGTGTGTTACTTTGTAGCGTCATTCACAACAGCTTGGAACGCGGCTCAGCCAATCAGAATCAAGCACCGGAACTCTCCGCTTTATAATAGATTTTATTATCCTTTGTAAACATTAAAACAACTTATTGTTAGTTCATGTTAGCTCAGGTCCATTAAATAATATTAACAGATGCGATGTTTGATTTTAATAATGTTAATAAATGTTAACATTAGCAACTAAAATTAATAAATGCTTAAAGTATTTTCCATTTTTAGTTCATGTTAGGTCCTTTAAATAGTATTAACTGATACAGTTTTTGATTTTAATAATGTATTAATAAATGTTGGAATTAACATTTAAAGCATTTATGGAAGCATGTATTAATCAACATTTATTAATGCGTTATTAAAATCAAAAACTGTATGTGTTAATATTATTTGTACTTAACATGAACTAAAAAATAAATACTTTTAAAGCATTTTCTAAAGTATTTTCCATTTTTACTTAATTTTGGCTCAGGTCCATTAAGTAATATTAACAGATGCAACTTTTGATTTTAATAATTTATTAATAAATTATAAAAAAAAAAAAAAAAAGTTGAAATGAACATTACCTAAGATTAATAAATGCTTTAAAATATTTAACATTTTTAGTACCTTTTAGATCCATTAAATAATATTAACACATGCAACTTTTGATGTGAATAATGTATTAATAAATGTTTAAATTAACATTCATTATTCATGTTAACTAATTAACAAATTAAACCTTATTGTAAAGTGTTACCAAAAACGAATCACAAAGTTTTTTTTAATTTAAATCAAATGTTATTATTATTATTGTTAATGTATATTACATTTTAAATATTTAAAATGTTTTATTTAATTTGCCTTTTTTATATATTCTTAACTGTTAATAATTATTATTAATGTGCATTATCATGTATATTATGTTTTATTGCATTGCATATATTTATTACAAATGTTTTTATTTAATTGGCCATTTTTATTTATATTCTTAACTGTTAATAATTATTATTAATGTGCATTATCATGTATATTATGTTTTATTGCATTGCATATATTTATTACAAATGTTTTTATTTAATTGGCCATTTTTATTTATATTCTTAACTGTTAATAATTATTATTAATGTGCATTATCATGTATATTATGTTTTATTGCATTGCATATATTTATTACAAATGTTTTTATTTAATTGGCCATTTTTATTTATATTCTTAACTGTTAATAATTATTATTAATGTGCATTATCATGTATATTATGTTTTATTGCATTGCATATATTTATTACAAATGTTTTTATTTAAATGGAAATTTTTTCTTGGCTATTTCGTAACCGTCAGTAACTCCTCTCTCTGTTTCAGAGCACACGGGCCGCTCTCATCCGTACTCGTACGAGCGTCTGGCGTTCGGTGCGTGCGCAGGATTGATCGGTCAGTCGGCCTCTTACCCGCTGGACGTGGTGCGCAGACGCATGCAGACGGCGGGAGTCACCGGACACACCTACGGCAGCATCTCGGGCACCATGCGGGAGATCGTGACGGAGGAGGGCGTGATCCGCGGCCTCTACAAGGGCCTGAGCATGAACTGGGTCAAAGGGCCCATCGCTGTCGGCATCAGCTTCATGACCTTCGACCTCATGCAGATCCTGCTGCGCAAACTTCAGCAGTTGGGCTACAATGCGCGGTAGCAGACGGCGGCGCCCTCTACAGGAACAGGAAGTTGCAGTTGCAAGAAAAATGGAACAAATGTGTATTTTGTGTTGTTTTTAGTTTTTTTTAACCTGAGCAAATGCTGCCAATGAAGAGGATGGGAAATGCCTGGCGTCATGTGACTAGTCTAAGACTAGCAAAAGCATATGTGCACTGCAAAAATTATTATTTTTTTTGTTTAAATGTCTTGTTTTCCATTACAAACCTCTAAACAGTTATAAATTAAGATGCATTTACTTGAGAAGCAAAATGAGGTTTATGCTTAAAACTAGAAAAAATATCTCAAAAAAATTCTTAATTTAAAGGGAAAACAATTATTTTATTTTAATTTTGTTCTTGTTTTGAGTCTGAACTCCCTTCATTTTGATAAATTCTTCAAAAAGCAAGACTTATTTTGCATCATGTGCTTCTCAAGTAAATGTATCTTGATTTAAGAAGGTTTCGATGTTTGTGCTGGGAAACGGGACAAGCTACAGGTTAAGAAGCTGATTTTTTGCGGTGTGTTTAGAGCGAGTGTGTGTTCGCTACAGAGACACACTGAATGTACGTCCCTGCGTCTCCTGCCGTCGCAGACGGAGCGTCCTTTAAGTGCAATACTGACTGAATGCGTTTCTGGAAACACGGTGTTCTTCATTGTCCTGCTTTATGTCTGTGTTTTCACACACGTCAAGGGCTTTGATGAAAACACACACACACACGCATTTCGAGTGAACCGTAGAAGCCGTTTATCTAAATATCACTTTCATATCAGGGTGAATCTCATGAAAATGGTCAAGAACACGTCCAGGTTTCACTGAAAAAAACAAACGTAATCATAATTGGGGAAATTTTGAAGAGCATGTAGCCTGATTTAGGACCATTGTTTTTTTTTTTGGTGTATTTTCACAACAGTTGAATGCTTTCCTCCCAAATTATTTAATGATATATTTAAAAGCATAAATGTAAGTATACTTTATGGTAGTAATTATAATTTCTGATAAATTATATATATATATATAAATTAATATTATTATTATTTAAAAGTATAAATGTATACTTTATGATAGTACTTATAATTTCTGCAATTCAAATTTCTAATTAAAGTTTTAATAAGAATAAGTATATATATGTATATATGTATTTTTTATTTTTTTTCTCTTGACAATTAAAAATACACAGACCATTTGTTTCTGGTAGTACTTTTTTGTTCTGCATTTAAGATAATTTTAATTTTAATTTTTACAATTATTTTAGGTAATTATATATACATATACATTTGCATAATTTCCCCATAAATTAAGTCTTTATGGTTTAATTTATGCACATGATTTTATTCACTCAGCTTTTCCCCCCTGCAATATAGGAGACAAAAATTTTTTTTTGTATTTATTTTGGGCTAAATATTTGGACTGAAATGTATTTTCTTCATGAGATTCACCCTTTTTTATCCGTTACCGTTATTCCAGAACAGGAGAGCTGTGTGTGTGTGTGTGTGTGTGTGTGCGTGCGTGTGTGTGTGTGTGTGTGCGTGTGTGTGTGTGTGAGAGTGCGAGTGCGAGT